TGAACTTTTCTCTTCTTGAAGCTTAAAAATTATCTTCTCTTTCTAGTCAAGTACAGTAATTCCTCACTTATCCAATGGTCACAGCTGCAACCTCAACAATCTGAAGTATAAGTCCCAATTAAAGGCTATTGTAACAGTCCAGAACAATAAAATAAGATTCATAGTAAGTTTCATAAGCAGGAGCAAACATCAAGAAAAAGTTATGCTCTAACTTTTTAGTGATCTCTAAAGCAGATAAACATGTAACTTTCTTTTAAAACCACCAATAGGCCGGGCGCGGTGGTTCAAGCCTGTAATCCCAGCACTTTGGGAGGCCGAGGCGGGTGGATCACAAGGTCAAGAGATCAAGACCATCCTGGTCAACATGGTGAAACCCTGTCTCTACTAAAAATACAAAAAATTCTCTGGGCATGGTGGCGTGTGCCTGTAATCCCAGCTACTCAGGAGGCTGAGGCAGGAGAATTGCCTGAACCCAGGAGGCAGAGGTCGCGGTGAGCCGAGATTGCGCCATTGCACTCCAGCCTGGGTAACAAGAACGAAACTCCGTCTCATGGTAAAAAGCATCAATGCAATGAAGAATCTGCATCAACTAATGGGCAAAACAGCCAGCTAGCACCAAAATGGCAGTATCAAATTCACACATAACAATATTAACCCTAAATGTAAATGGACTAAATGCCCCAATCAAAAGACACAGACCGGCAAATTGGATAAAAGGCCAAAACCCATCGGTGTGCTGTATCCAGGAAACCATCTCACATGAGGGATACACAAAGGCTCAAAATAAAGGGATGGAGGAAGATTTACCAAGCAAATGGAGAGCAAAAAAAGGCAGGAGTTGCAATTCTCATCTCTGATAAACTAGACTTTAAAGCAACAAAGATCAAAAGAGACAAAGAGGGACATTACATAATGGTAAAAGGATCAATACAACAAGAAGAGCTAATGATCCTAAATATATACGCACCCAATACAGGAGCACCCAGATACATAAGGCAAGTTCTTAATGACTTACAAAGAGACTTAGACTCCCACACAATTATAGTGGAAGACTTTAACACCCCATTGTCAATATTAGAGAGATCAACCAGACAGAAAATTAACAAGGACTTGAACTCAGACCGGGACCAAGCAAACCTAATGGACATTTACAGAACTCTCCACCCCAAATCCACAGAATATACATTCTTCTCAGCACCATATCACACCTACTCTAAAACTGACCACATAATTGGGAGTAAATCACACCTCAGCAAATGCAAAAGAACGGAAATCATAACAAACAGTCTTTCAGACCACAATGCAATCAAGTTAGAACTCAGAATTCAAAAACTAACCCAGAACCAAACAGCTTCATGGAAACTGAACAACTTGCTCTTGAATGTTGACTGGATAAACAATGAAATGAAGGCAGAAATAAAGATGTTCTTCAAAACCAACGAGAATGAAGACACAACATACCAGAATCTCTGGGACACATTTAAAGCAGTCTCTAGAGGAAAATATATAGCAATAAGTGATAACATGAGAAAAAAGGAGAGGTCTAAAATTGACACCCTACCGTCAAAATTGAAAGAGCTAGAAGAGCAAGATCAAAAAAACTCAAAACCTAGCAGAAGACAAGAAATAGCTAAGATCAGAGCAGAACTGAAGGAGATAGAGACACAAAAAACCCTTCAAAAAAAAATCAATAAATCCAGGAGCTGGTTTTTTGAAAAGATCAACAAAATAGACAGACCACTAGCCAGATTAATAAAAAAGAAAAGAGAGAATAACCAAATTGATGCAATAAAAAATGATAAAGGGGATATCACCACAGATTCCACAGAAATTCAAACCATCATCAGAGATTATTACAAACAACTCTATGCACACAAACTAATAAACCTGGAAGAAATGGATAAATTCCTGGACACTTGCCTCCTGCTAAGCCTAAACCAGGAAGAAGCCGAAACCCTGAACAGACCCATAACAAGGTCTGAAGTTGAGGCAGCAATTAAGAGCTTACCACCCAAAAAAAGCCCAGGTCCAGATGGGTTCACAGCTGAATTCTACCAGACATACAAAGAGGAGCTGGTACCATTTCTTCTGAAACTATTCCAAACAATACAAAAAGAGGGAATTCTTCCCAAATGATTTTATGACACCAATATCATCCTGATTCCAAAACCCGGCAGAGACTCAACAAGAAAAGAAAACTTCAGGCCAATATCCATGATGAACATAGATGCAAAAATCTTCAATAAAATACTGACAAGCCGATTGCATGGGAGTGTAAATTAGTTCAACCATTGTGGAAGACAGTGTGGCGATTCCTCAAGGACATAGAAATAGAAATTCCATTTGACCCAGCAATCCCATTACTGGGTATATATACACGTGCACACGAATGTTCATTGCAGCACTGTTTACAATAGCAAAGGCCTGGAACCAACCCAAATGCCCATTGACGATAGACTGGATAGGGAAAATGTGGCAAATATACACCATGGAATATTATGCAGCCATCAAAAACGATGAGTTTGGGTCCTTTGTAGGGACATGGATGAACCTGGAAACCATCATTCTCAGCAAACTGACAGAAGAGCAGAAGATCAAACACCACATGTTCTCACTCATAGGCGGGTGTTGAACAATGAGAACACATGGACACAGGGAGGGGAGCACTACACACTGGGGTCAGTTGGGGGGAAATAGGGGAGGGATGGTGGGGGATGGGAAGCTGGGGAGAGATAGCAAGAGGAGAAATGCCAGATGTAGGTGATGGGGAGGAAGGCAGCAAATCACACTGCCACGTGTGTTCCTATGCAACAATTTTGCATGTTCTTCACATGTACCCCAAAATGTAAAATGCAATAAAATAAATGGGAAAAAAAAAAAAAACCACCATTAAATAAATTTTGACATTTGAATATGTCGCTTCATAATTAGCAAAGTTTTTTTCAAAATACAGCATGTGATGTCAGGAGAATCCTGGATTCACCAAAAGTCAATTCACAAAACCTGGTTATCTCCTTACCTTGTGACAACAATCCAGGGAGGGAGAGTCTTCGACTGCCTCCCTCTGTTTCTTCTTCTCTGATATCCACAAGACTTGAGCTTTTCTTCCCTTGCATTGATTCCTGCTTAACCTGTTCTTCCCTGCTATCTTTCAAACCTTCTGGGCCAATAGCACTACTGCCTGCCTGAGCTCCAGTTTCACAAGGGGTTGTACTATAAAAGTTCATAACTTTCTTCAGTGACAAGGCACCAGCTTCGTAAGTAGCAGCCACTCTCACGCCGACAGCAGATGCACAAGACACCACCAGGCTGTTTAGGGCTGAGGTGCTCGTGGTAGGTAGGCTGTGGAGATTAGGAATTGCTTCTTCCACAAGAGGCTAAAATATACACACATAAAAAATTATATAAAAATATAATCCCTTATACAATAAGTAATCAATAAAAAGAAAGTGTAATATCCACCTCTATTCGCATATAAGAATCTAAAATGACAGAAGTTCTCTTCATCTTCGGCTAAAGCTATCCTCTTCTTGATCATAGAGTTAACATAGTATACGGAAAAAAGTACTCAAAATACAGTTCCTTTTCCAAAGTCCTTCCTTTTGTCTGGATATTGTGTTTTTCCATGGTAATTAAAAATAAGCCCCAGCTGCTTTCATAAAATTAAACACAGTAAAAGGGGAGGGGGGAAAAGGCATGGAAAACACTGCCTTTAATACCATGTGCACTGTGACAGCCTTGGACAGAGGGTTGAAAAAAATGCAAAATTCATTATTGATCACTTTCAGGAAAATTTATACAGACTACTAACTAGAAGTAGCAGGAAAAATACTAGATTTATGAAAAAAACTTTCCCTGAAATGCTTTATAAATTGAAACATATAGAGACAGAAAAATAAGTTGTACCTATAACCTACCATTTCTGAAATTATGTTAAGTTCGAATGCCTTTACTGGCTCATCAATGAGTTATTTTCTATGACCCAGGGGCTAGACAAGCTGTAGGATTACCTTTGCTTTTGCTGCCATAGAGGCAAATGTGGTAGGTTAATAATTAAACATTTGGAACCAATGTTCTTAGTGTGATTCTAGAGGTGTACTAGAAAATCACACTAACATTTTCTGATACCTTAATGAAAAATCTAAGCTGAAATTTACTCTAAGCTGTCCAACACCATTGTTTCCTAAAAAGTAAAGTCATGAAATGCACCTACCAAACACACAAAAACCTTTCAGCTTGTCAGCATAGCTTATGTTGAAAAATTTGCTTCTTATTCTATCCAAAGATCTCAAAGGGAATATATACATTCCTTCATTTGTCCTAAATTAAAAACCAAACCTATGTATACATATATATTTTTTAACACTGGCTTCTGATTTCTTAAAGGAAATAATTCCCGGCACCTAGCAAAGTACCTGACATGTAAATACTCAACACATTTTGTTGAATTAAATGCTAAATTCAGAAGAGCTATTTCCACTCAAATGTGTAGTCTGTAAACAAAACAGCCAATAAAATAAATACATATACTTAATAAAACAAAAAATAAATACAAAGCCTATTACTTCTTTGGTGACACAGCTCCCATGATAGCGTGTTCAGCAGCACTATCTCCACTTTTTGTTTACAAAGGCTCCTTACAGAAGCCGTGATGGTATTTAGAGGCAACTATTTTAGGGGGTTCTTAACCACTACGTAGAGGAAAGTCTCAAAACTCTACCTTATATAAACCTTGAACTACTGTCCTAACTGGCTCCTTCTACTTACTTGAATTTAAAAATATAGTAAGTGAATAAACAAACCCTCCCCTACAAAACACATAATTAGCAATTTTGATGAAAGAGATAATTTTAGGAGTTCCAGTCAACCAATAATACTTTATTTCCCAAGTGAGAAAGTCTCAGTTATATCTTGCCAGAAGAAAAAAAACTTGCTCTAAAACACATAAATTCCTCATGAATTAGCTGTATGATTGCTATTTACAAAGAATAAATTAAACGTCACAGAAACACACATTTATTCAATTTAATAGAAACACACACATTGTTACTAGAGTAACAAAAACTTCCAATGTTTAACAAAGTTAAATATAATAAGCATGTACAGTCTAAGAACTTTCTACATGCATTCTTGTTAAACTACTACTTTTGTTTTATTCAGGTTTTGTAATACCTTTCTCCAAACAGCTTATCCTTGATTTTTTTTTAAAATTCAAATACCCACAAGTTTCAGTGAATACATTGTGAAATAAAGACTATTTCTAAAAATACCTTCATGTTCACATTCTGACAGAGTAAACAGTAAGAATCAAGAATCAAGAATCAAGAGGTTATCTGGTTTCAAAAACCTAAAAAGCAACACTGCAGGACAGATCTTTATGATTACGATCTTTCGTTTTGTTTTCTTAGAGTTTTGGTAAAGCAAAATCAATAGGCCACACTAAGAGTAAAACATAGAAATATCCTTTTAAAACAATTTGTTTTAAGCAGTAACTCAAACTTTACCATGTGCTACTGGCAAATGGCTTTTGTTCATTCTACCACAAATCTTCAAAATGAAAATAGTTTTAGTAAGATACATTAAATAGTCTGGGCATGATGGCTCATGCCTATAATCCCAACACTTTGGGAGCCTGAGGTGGGAGGACTGCTTGAGCTCAGTAGTTTGAGACGAGCCTGGGCAAAAAAAGTCAATCTCCTCTCTACTTAAAAATAAAATAAAATAAAATCAGCAGATGTGGTAGCACATGTATGTAGTCCCAACCACTTGGAAGGCTGAACTGGAAGGATCACTTGAGCCTGGGAGATCAAGGCTGTAGTCAGCTATGATGTCACTACTGTACTCCAGCCTGGGTGACAGAGCAAGACCCATCTCAAAAACAAACACACACACACACACACACACAAAAAAAACACTTCTTCAAATAAAGCCCAGTAAGGACCACAGCTATAACTGAAAAAAATTCAAATATCTAATTGCCTATAAATTTTAAATCTGCCTACAATTGAAGGATCTGCCATACGGCAACCTTCCCTGTTAAAGGAAAAGACTTTTCTCTAAGAATTCTGAAGAGTGTTACAAACAAAAGTAAGAATACTATCTTTGGGAATCTATAGTTATATTAAACTATTCAGGTCCCACCAAAATTCAGTATCTTAGCCCCAGAAGAAAAGTACTACCAAGAAAAAAAAAATGAAATGTTGCTACTTATAAAACAAGCCCAAAATGACATCTTTCAGCATCATAAAGTGCCAGAACATAAAGAGTGATTTTGAATTAATCTAGGCTTTTTACTCATCTAGGCTCTCCTGATAAAACAAAATTGTAGTCAAACTCAAAAAATAAAAAATGCTACCAAGCCTTCCTCATTTTAAAGTTTCTAAAGAAAAGTTCACATGGTTCAACTCTAGAAACATCTTTATTTTATAAAATTTGGCAAGTACCTGAGACGGCATTGGCTTTTCACCATGCTCTGAGTCCTCTCTTACTGAATGATCTGACAGTTTCTGCAGGTATTCATTTACTGCCTGGGTGTCAGGGTATGATGGTATGTTTCTGGCAGAAGAAATTTCAGTTGTTCCCATGACGTTTTGTTGAGAGGATATGGCATCGCCACTCGTGGTCTGAGCACTTACTGCATTCAGTTCTGTAGCAACAGACTGATCATTTGTTGCAGGAGTGTTCTCAAATACTTCTTCCTGCCTGTCAAGGGTTTCAGTGGAGGGGCTGAGAGCAGTGCTGGCATGATTTTCTGCCTGAGATTCAGACAATGTCACACCTAATGGACAACAATGACTGTCGGATATAATCACATGGTCTTCTTTGTCAGTCATAGTAATCAAGAGCTGGCTGCATTGGTTGCATCGTTCTGGGACTGGTTTCAGATCCTGGGAAGGGAGGCATTGTACAAGGGCTAAGCTGTGGAAAGCACCACAGGCAACCTGAAGCACAACTCGCCCAGCAAGATGTTCTACCTTTTGCGGCTTTGTCACTGGGAACGCAGTGGTAATGAGACCCAACTGACAACCGGTACCCCATGCCCAGATCTCTCTGCTTATTGACAATGCCAGAGTATGCTCTTCGCCACATGCCAACTGCAAAATCCTGACTGCTAACAAAGGGCTGGCCTCAGAATCAGCGATGCTGACAGGGTTCGGCTCTGGCACATACTGCTGATTGGCTACTGCACACTGGCCCGCAGAATTCTCTCCCCACATGTAGGCAACACCACTGTCTGTCACTGCTCCACTATGGAAGCTTCCTGTTGCCACAGTAACAACATATTGTCCAACCAGGGCATTTTCTAGAATGGGGCTACTTGGACAAATCTCCACTGCTCCACTTCTCCAGGGAAGGGTCCCAAAGCTGTAGACCTCACCATCTAAAGGTTAAAAAATAAAAATAAAAAAAGGAAAAAAAAAAAAGAGCGTTAGTGAATTAGCTAAAAATTTTATCAGCAAACTTTCAGTCCCATCTAGATTTAACAAAATTGGATTTTCTTTTTAAATTTTCAAAAGCAGTTGTAGAGATCTGGTTCAAGCACACAGTATTTCACATTAATTCATCTTTTTAAAAATGACTCATTTTAATATTCTGCACTATAGTAAGAATTTCTACAAATTGCAGGAGGCTACTCCTTTCCTTCAGCCTCATTCTACAAACTCCTCACATTAATCCACTCCTCATGGCTATCAACACAGGCTAGTACATAAGCAGATTCCAAATGTTCAGAGGCAAACTAATAACAATGTTAAGATAAATTAAGCAAAAGATAAAACAGACACATTCACTAATATCTATAAGTCACTATTAAACAAGTTGGAACAGCAGAAAATTATGCCATGGCTTAAAAATATTAGAGATTCATTTTGGCCAAAACTAAGAAATTAACTTCATGCCTCTAGGCTGTACAGAAAGCACCAGTTCTTAACAAGACATGGCTGTCTTCACATTGTATGTCATGTTATGTATAGTTTTCAGGTGTTACACAAATATACAGGTTGAGTATCACTTACCCAAAATGCTTGGGACCAAAGGTGTTTTGGATTTCAGGTGTTTTGGAATATTTGCCTTATACTTTCTGACTGAGGATCCCAAATCTGAAATGTTCCAATGAGCATCTCCTTTGAGCATCATCATATTAGTGCTCAGAACATTCTGGATTTTGGATCATTTTAGATTTCAGATTTTTTAATGTGCAATGCTCACCCTGGACTTTACGTATTGGATATTGGCTAGTCTTTCTGAGGTGAGAGTTGTTTAAAAAGCAAGTCAGCTTCTTCTCCAAGAAGCCATCAAATGGCAGATGACACCAGTACAGCAGGAGGGCCCAGAAGCCCCAGGAGCCCTGGGATGGGGAACCACAGCAACTTCCATGGAGGCTTGGGCAGTGGCATCTGAGGCCAGGGTTAGGGCTGCAGAGCTCAAAGAGGCAAGGCTGAGGACAAGGAGTGGATGCCTGTCACCAAGCTGTGCTGCCTGGTCAAGGACAGGAAGATCAAGTCCCTGGAGGAAATTTCTCTCTTCTCCCTGCCCATCAAGGAATCTGAGATCATTGACTTTTTCCTGGGGGCCTCTCTCAAGCATGAGGTTTTGAAGATTATGCCGGTGCAGAGGCAGACCCGCAACGGCCAGTACACCAGGGTCCAGGTGTTTGTTGCCATCGGAAACTACAATAGCCAGTGGCTCCAAGGAGGTAGCCACGCCCAAGGGACTATCATCCTGGCAAAGATCTCCATTATCCCCTTGCGTAGAGGCTACTGGGGGAACAAGATCAGCAAGCACCATACAGTCCCTCGCAAGGTGACAAGCTGCTGTGACTATGCTGGTGTGCCTCATCACTGCACCCAGAGGCACTGGCATCCTCTTAGCCCTGATGTCCAAGAAGCTGCTGCTGACCATCAGTATTAATGACTGTTACTCCTCAGCCAGGGTCTGCACTGCCACCCTGGGCAGCTTCACCAAGGCCACCTTTGATGCCATCTCCAAGACCTACAGTTAACTGGCCCCCAACCTCTGGAAGGAGACTGTATTCACTAAGTCTCCCAATCAGGAACTCATGGACCATCTCGACAAGACCTACACCAGAGTCTCCAGGCAGAGGACCCAGGCTCCAGCCGTGGCTACAACATAGGTTTTTATACAAGAAAAATAAAGTGAATTAAGCCTAAAAAAAATTAAAAAATAATTACAAGTAAAGCATCACAACAAAACAGCAAAAAAGCAAATGAAGCTGTCAGAATAACTGGTTAGCTTCAGAATTAATGAAAGGCACTAGTGAGTTGAGCATATACATAACTTACATATGTCCAGGTATGCTACCAAGTCTTAATTTTACTGTAGTATGGTGGGAGTTTGGGAGCTGGTGCACATAATCTACGCTGGCTAAAAATTCAATGGAACAAAGACTTGGCTAAGGGTTTTGAAAAATACTGAACCAAGCCCACTATCCTTTCATTTCTATGTGACCAGAGACTTACGATTTTTTTAAATTAATGAAGAAATAAGCACTATTTTTTTTCTCACAAGGCAGCAATTGAGTTGATGATGAAAACATACAAACTTTATCTTTGACCTATTATACAAGGCAGATACATGTACACACTCAAGTTAACTCATCACATCATCCATGTAAGGAGGGACTCAATAGTGGTTAGAGGGAAGATAAGTGCATCTATTAGGAAATGTATAGTCTGAATCAAAAATACTGAGATGAGGAAATAAGCTAACTGGTTAACCTCTTTTCAACTTTGTTTCCTAAGAAATACAACAATATACTTGAAAAAGCTCACCAAGTATTTCAATTAACATTATTCCACTAGAAAGAGCAATATTGCAAAGAAACGGAAATTTAGATCCCACTCCTTTAAAAAACAACAACAAAAAACTGGAGCATATCAAAAACAGTGAATCAATGAAGTATCTTCACTGAATTATGAGTTAATGGCCAAATTTAATAGAGATGAAGAACCTTGAAAATTTCTAGCAGTCAACCATTTCTTCAACTGGAAAAGGTAACACTGGAGATCTGTATGGAATTTCAAACACAAACTTGTGTTAGAAAGGATTTTTTTTGGTAACTGTGACACTTAATACCAGGACACTGCTTAAGCATTAACAATGATAGGCTATTTAAATATTTTTGAAAAGTTTTCCCTCAGTTGTCTTAGCCTTGAAGATATGATTCTGAAGATATCATGTTTATAGTCAAATAGATTTTTTTTTTTTTTTTGAGACAGGATCTTACTTTGTCACCTACGCTACAGTGTAGTGGCACAATCACAGCTCACTGAATGCGGCTTTGGCCTCCCAGGCTCAAGCTATCCTCCTACCTCAGCCTCTGAAGTAGCTAGGACTACAGGTGTGTGCCTCCATGCCTAATTTGTAAAATATTTCTTGCAGAGACATGGTCTCCCTATATTGCCCAGGCTGACCTTGAAGCCCTGGGATCAAGGGATCCTTCTGCCTTTGTCTACCAACGTGCTGGGATTACAGGCATGGGGAATAATGCCCAGCCAGTTTCATTAACTTAATAAAAATATTCCAAATATCTTATTGAATACAACAACAGAATTCCACTTATATTTGCTTGAGAACTATATATTTTGAACCTCATAGGC